AAAAGGGTTATCAGGTATTTGAAGAGAACAAAGGATTATATGCTCACATACAAGAGGTCAGACCAGTTGGAGAACACTGGGTATTCTGACTCAAATTTTGCAGGATGCCAAGATAGTTTGAGATCCACTTCAAGTTACATTTTCATTTTGGCTGGTGGTGCGGTTTCTTGGCGCAGTGCCAAGCAAACCCTTACTGCTTCATCCACTATGGCAGCAAAATTTGTAACATGCTATGAGGCATCAAATCATGGAATATGGCTGAGAAATTTTGCCATAAGGCTACAAATTGTGGAAGGAATTGAAAGACCACTTAAGTTATATTGTGACAACAAATCAGTTGTATTGTATTCTAACAATAATAGGAGCTCGTAAAACACATTGACATCAAGTTCGTAGTTGTTAAGGAAAGGGTACAGAGTGGACAGATTTTCATAAAACACTTAAGGACAAACTCTATGACAGCAGATCCTCTTACTAAGGGACTTCCACCCAAGGTCTTTCATGAGCATGTTGCTCATATGGGTGTTTTATAGTTTGAGGAATCTATGGTTTAGTGGGAGTTAGTCACATTTATGTATTTTATGTTCTATGGTTGATTTTATGTATGCATACATTGAATTTTGGATATATTTAGTTATAGATATATATATATGGTTTGTTATTCAGTTATTACACTTTGTAAATTAAGGTTATTAAATGATCTCATTGAGGTAAACTAGGACCAGTTGAAAATAAACGTGTACAGGCCACCTTCACGTAATTTTCATGCTACACATTTCATGATGAGTTTATGTCATTTGGTTCTGTCAGCATTAGTGATCATTGATGAGTTTAAATTGTGATTGATACAATGGAAACTGTTTTGGTTCTATGTGTTGATATAATCAATGGACGAGATTTTTAGAATATGCTCAAGGTACGTAATGGCAATTTTTGAGCTCATAAAGTCTAACACATTTATAAGGACTGTAAGGATATATATGTGACCAGTGGGAGATTGTTAGCAATTTTTTGGTCATACATATATATTACATTATTTAAATGTGTTAGGGCCATTAGTTTATTAGCCAAAATATTAAAGTGGTCTAATTAATATAAGTTTATGGCTAAGGGCATATATGTCATGAAAGGTTAATTGTGTAGATACCATTAGTGATATTATAATTTGATGAAGGGCCAAATTATAATTATCAATTTTGGGGTAACTGATGGCAGTTGCAAATACAGGGGTTATGGTCCCCATTTGTAGAGCAAGTAACACACGTACAATTACAGTTCTTTTCTCTCTTCATCTCCATCAGAAGAGAAACCCAAAAGAAAAAAAAAATCTAAGGTGCTCTATATTTGGAAGATCAAATACCCGTTGTCAATCTCATAACCTTTATTCTTGCCAATGGCGAATTCAGATACGCTTCTGCATTTTATTTTCATCATAAATTAGGGTATGGGTTAACAATAAATTCTATAATTGTGCTGTAATTTTCATTCTATATAGATAATAACAAGTGATTAGGCACAATTATTGTTTGATAGAAATCCCCAACACTCTATTCTAAAATATCATCATGCATGATTGAGTTGTCTGTCTTATGAAGGTTCGATGCATTCGTTTGAGGAAAGTGAACAATGATGTAAATTTGTGTACTTGTGAAGTTTATATTCTATAGGACTCAAAATAAACGAAAAACTTTTATGATGATAGTACCCATCTTTTATCTTCTTTGAATGATAGTACCATGTCGAGAATTTTTAGCCCTTAAACTAGTAGCATTTTGATCTAGGCATTGTATAGTATATTGTCCTACTTTTTCCTTTTAATATAATCATACCTTCTAACTTTTTTTTCTAAAGAAAATTTCTCCGTTTAGAAAACAACATCCTTAATCAAGACATACAACCATGACTAATATCTTTTGTTTTACTTGGGTTTTTTGCCTTTTTGGGTTATTCTGAAAACAAATTATCAAAATAGGGTTGCATGCAAACAAATTCTCGATTTGGGTGGACTGGTGACGTGGCAACAAAATTGTCCAGAACAAGGATGACACACGTGATAACGTGGCTAACTGTGAGAGTGTCATCCTATTAGTAGTTAACACTCATGAGATATCGACACGTGTCGCTCCAAGAACTTGTGTCGTCCATATTTAGGACGATTTTAGTAACGTTTACAACAGAGACGACTTCAGTGTCATTCAACTAAACCTGATTTTAATGTGACTGGTGGATAAAAATTTTGATATATTTTTTTGTCCAAATTTAAATGTGTGTAAATACGAAACCTTCACATAATAACTGTGGAGCTGGAGAATGAATAGCAAGTGTGGAGCTGGACAAGAAATAACAACCAAAGCAATAAGTTTAGATTTTAAGCATTATAAATATATAATTTTTTTATTGGCTATTAAGAATTTTTATTTTGAATAATAATATTTATTTTATATTTGGATAATATTTTAAGTGTTAATGTTGTAATTTAATTTTTGTCTTATATTTGAAAATAAGACAGATAAAATATAATGTTAAAAATTAAATATTTGTAATTACAAATGAATTTTTAAATATAATTTTATTATATTATAAAATAATTTTTAAATAAGCTTGGCTTATTTTTAATGCAAGATGAATAACATTGTTATTATATTATATTAAAATGGTAGAATATATGAAGGAAATGTGAGTATAATTTTTGAAAAGAAGAAAAAGATGATTAAGATAGAACGTGAGATCACACGTGAGATGTTTAAAAGGAAGATCCACACAAAATTGAAATTGTCTAGTTGTCACGTAATTTGTAGATTAATTTTACGAATTTTAGTTGAGACAAATGGTCGATACCATACAACTCTGGATATATGTGACGATGAAGACATAAATTGCATGATAAGTGTGTGTCAATAATCACATCATATGAATGTAGTTGAGATATATGTAAATGTTGAGGTCGGTGAAACATCTTCTGTTGTGGCACGTCTGTCAGAAGTAAATTTATCACCCTCACTCAATCATGGAAGTCATGATGATAATGATTATACAACAAGAGAAGGTAATATGAAGTTGATAATTTTAAATTTCTAAAATTGATGCTGCAAATACTATTAATAATATAAGTTTACAATGTATAATCTACAGATGAAGATGATGAATATGAAGATAAAGAAGATATTTCATTAAATAATTTTTTTGATACTGAGATAGATGATAATTTTAATTCAATGATCAATATGGAGGGTATTGTAAGAGTTAGTTCAACGCAACAACAAGATAAATGTATGATTTTAGATAGTGATTTAAAAAATAGATTTTCATAACTTATATCTATAGTAATATATAAATTGTTAATGGGGTTAAATAACCAATTATAAACAATAACAATTATATTATATAATTTCTAATATAATTTATCTAAAATTTTATTTATTACAAAATACATAAATCAATTTATAAATTATTTAAAAATAAAAATAAATTTTGCACCTCCGCAGCTTCTAATATGGATTTGAACCCTCTTCTTCACGAGCTCCACCCACACACTCCCAAATTGTTCACGTGCACCACAATCTCAAATGTTACATACATGCAATTTCATATTTAAAAACTAAAATATATTCGAAATATTATTTCTTTTACCTTATAATAATTTTTCTTCAAAAATTTGAATACCCTGAGCCAACAATGTGCCCAATACACTATATTTTTTTCTGTCAACCTGAAACCTCTGCGAGATAGAGAAGAAGAAAGGAGAAATGGAAGAAAGGAAGCCCTGCGTCCAAAACGGTCAAAATTCTCTGCCACGTGGACCAATCATAAGAGTGTCGTCCCTGACCCAGCCGACACCCTTGAATTGGCACTAAACCAGCCGACACTGAAGTTGACTCTGAACCAGCCAACTCTTTACGATTTGCACATAAGACTTCTTTCCTTCCCACCCGTCGATGCATTTTGAATTATTTTAATTTTTTTTTCCATTTATTTGGTACAACATGTGTCCCACGTACATAGGGGACGATTTTTCTTTTTGGTGTTGTCTGACTTCCTGGACGATTCTTCTGCCACGTTGCCTCCTCATCCCTAAACTGGGAATTTGTTTGCATGCAACCCTATTTTGATAATTTGTTTTCAGAATAACCTCAAAAGAGCAAAAAAACTGTTTTACTTTATCTTTGAAATATATTTAATTTGGAAGTGTATCTTATTGATTACTACTATGTATTAGCTGACATTGTTATGAATTAGATGATATTTCCTTGTTTCTTAGTGTGTAAATTGTGCTTTTTTCCGAGGTTAAGTGATTTCAAAGTCTTTTGTTATTGGTCTCTCTATGACATACTGTTAATTGAATCATTTATGGGACCCAAGCAAGCAATTGGTGCAGGTACTCCTAAAAAAATTGTGATCTTGCGCTAAGTCGAATGAAAAAATGCATCCTGAACCACAGTTGCACTAACTCTGTAATCGTTGGATCGGAGATCAATTGTTGTTGCGGGGGACAACAGATAATCTGCTAACACCGATCCGGGAATGCAAATTCTGCTTACTCAATTCTGCCTCGGTTTCAATTGCTCCTACCTTCATAAAAAATGTGCTCTTGATGGCAGAACAATTATTGTCTTTGACACGCTACAATTGTATTGTCTCTAGCCTGAAGTAAGTTTCATGCAGATACTATATATAAATATGCATCTTTTCAATGAGTAGTGCAGTTTAGAATTTAGATCCATACACGGAATAGAAACATAGAATACTGCTGAAATAAGACGGAAATTTTATGGTATTCAACTTGTGTCACGATGGGGAAAGTACGAGTTTCCCAGTTAAACGTCACATTTCTTATCCCTAATAGCAGTCGCCCAAAGTGTTGGGATTTGGATGCTGTCTGAAATTTTAGGTGCTTGAATTCTTGAACAGAAAACATAAAACGACGTATTTGTTTTATTGAAACATTCAATCACTTTGCATCATTATACGGAAAAACGAAGTTAAGACTAGAAAACCATAGCCATGAATTGGAGCTCTCTCGACACCTATCAGTCTCCTCGTAATATACTCAATTTGATTGGCTCAGTCAACATCGTCTTCTCAAATATACAAAGTTCTCAAAAACAAAAATGCATGTGAATATCAAACATTACGCTAAAAAATCACATATAAAGGCAAGCACAATTCAACAAAACTAAGTCAGTTGGCGTCACTTTCATTCACAACGAGATTTTAGTGAAGTGTATCTTTTACCTTCAATTTACTCATTAACTGTGGTACTACCAAAAGCCGTCATCTCAGCATTGCCTTGTTCCAATTATTCACGTCCCTTAACGAACCTGTCAACATTGTCATTTTCAACCAAATTCAGAATGCAGCAGGTCTTGAGAAGAGAGAGGAAGGTTTTGCTTGGGTTGAAGTGCTTTCCGCACCATAGGCTACATCTACCAGGAAGCTTGCTTCATCCTGTCATCTCTGGTCAACGGGATTAAGAAACTTTTGTTTTTTCCTTCCCTTCCAAGTATTTCCTATTTTCTTGCTTGTACCTTTTCCATTCTCTTAAAGCAGCAAGGAGGACATGCATTAAAACTGGCAGAAAAAATGGCTGCCAACACAGCAGGAAAATAGACGTACGTGACAATGTGTTATAAAGGTCAAGTTTTGTATAAATTATTAGTATAGATGGCGGAGAAAAGAGTTCAAGGACAAACCGAATAGATAGCGAAACAATGCTCAAACGAATAATAGCTTATGGACATAATTGAAGGATGAAAAAAGGCATCCTCTGCCAGTGATCTTGATTGCCTTGATGATACTGACAACAAAAGAGATTAATCAAATTTTAGCAACAAACAACAGCTGCAAATCTTCATTGAAGTCACAACCAAGCTTTTGGAATTAACATAAAGTCTAGGAATAGCATACTGGCTGAAGCATCATATATTCCAACAGATGCATTACTTTGAGCAAATTTTGCAGCTTCCAGAGAAAACTTCACCTGCTCAGTCAGAGATTAAAAAATAATCAGGACAAAAGAAGGTAATCCACAGCATCTTTTAAGATCAGGACAGAAAATATAAAATTTCTCATGCAAAGTGATTATATACAACAAACAACATCAACCAAGCCTTATCTCACTAGGAAAGTGATTATATGCAACCAACAGAATTATATTAATACAGCTGACAATTAAAGTACTGTGTTTCTGACAAAAATCTGAAGTTAAAATATCATAGACAAATAGATCTTTGCCACAATATGCAAAAGGTTAAAGAAAAATGCATAATTTTTTGTTAAGATGTCCCACATTGGTTAGGAATAGAGCCAAAATACTCCTTATAAGGGTTAGGACAGTCCTCCTCTTATGAGCTAGCTTTTAAAAGTGAGTTAGGCCCAAGTTTTTTAGTGTTAGAAATATGCAAATAAGAAAATATGTAATTATAGTAATGCTGTAATTAGGAAGATGATATGTTGTATTTAAAGAAATAATATTCCTGTAATTACGGTAATTAGGTAACCATAATATCTCTATAATTAATCATTGTATTGCTCTTTTGTTTTATTTTCTCTTAACATGATATCAAAGCCTATTCAGTTTGAATGTTGGACTGCCCACAGATGTCCAATCCTGTTGGGTCCACTCATGCAGATGTCCGGTCTTGCAAATTTCGCGCACCAGATGTCTAGTCTTGAGCGTGAGGAGAGTGTGTTAAGATGTCCCACATTGGTTAGGAATAGAGCCAAAATACTCCTTATAAGGATTAGGGCAGTTCTCCTAAACTAGCTTTTGAGAGTGAGTTAGGCCCAAGTTTTTTAACATTTTTACCTATAATATCATCCAATATAAGTTTAATCACCAACGAGTCAAGAAGCATTTAGTCCAACAAATCACCTGTTTTCCAATCTCATCCATGATAATCATCCTTGGCAATGATTGTACCTGAATGTAATGGAAGTTTGACTAACTTTCATGAAACAATGGCTAGATGAAATTGACACAATTGAAGCAACTTAATTAACAAACATACCAATCTAGAAAGTGATCCAAGTGTTGTAGCACATGAAAGAAGATTAAAGCATATATGCTTTCGTGACAAAACATCCAACTCCCTACACATAATCCCCACAAGAATAATTTCAGGGGTTTAATACTTGCACAAGAAAAGAAAAAAAAACTACATAGCTTAGGCCTCTTAAACACATGCAAAACAGAAATGCAAGGAATTTCTATTTAAAGGATAATTGAATCATAAGATTAAGAGACAGAATGAAATATAGCTTCAAATATATCACATAAATGATGTACTATGCTCAATGTGATAATTTTATATTAGGAATTTTGACTAAACAACGACAAGTCTCAGAAACAAAATCATAAAGGAAAACTTAGGTGCAGTACCATAGGTACCGTTAATGTGGTTCTCTAATCAAAAAAGAAATTTCAGCTCGATAATAAGCATAATAAAATTTGACATTAAAGATGAACACACCTACATGAAAGGTTGACATGCATTAGTAAAGTAAGACTCACCAATAACACTTACGATATTGTAAAGTTTTGTCCAATCATAAATCATATGCCATGTGTCATAATTTTGAACAAAAACAAAGCATGAAATAGCCCAATAACACACAGAGTGAGTGATTGTGTGAAGCCTTTAGTTTAAAATAGAGTAGCACAAAAACCAAAGGTTACATAGAGTGAGTGACTATGCAAAGTTCTTACTTCATAAGAATGAAAATAGAGCAATAGAATAATCAAATAGAGGTGTCCAGTGCTCCTTTAATTCCTTTTCATTTAAGAATTTAATCTTACTAGATGTTTCAATTTCCTTATTAAAATTGGTGAAAGCATAGACAAAAGGAAATAATTAATAAATCACTGAATTGTGTGACTAATATCAGTGATAAGAAATCACACTGAATCAATCAAGTATCACAGTTCAAAGGCATTTGCAATTCATCACATGATGTTAGGTGCTAACTGCCAAATTGTATCAAATCATGCAATTCTAACAACTATGTACAAATACTTCAAAAAACATTATTGCTGGTTTCTTTCTTCTCCGTATGGCATAAAAACTATCTTTTAGAAAATATTTTCTTATTTTGATGAAACAATCTCAACAAAAATAATTTCCTAGTACATTGTTGCAACTAATTTAAGAAGGGGAGATTGCAGAACAATTCAAACATGATATAGGAAAAAGATTTTAGTTGAATATAGCTTCCACAAAAACAATTTCATGTAAGTATATTTTCCAGCTTTAAACATTTGGATAGAAAGTGAAGTGATGCATTTTGTAAGATCTATTGCTTGATTTGTTCATGTTCAATGAGAAAAAGGGAAAATCATTTTCCCATTCTTTACAATTACCAAGGATAAAATTTTCCTATGACTGTTACAGATATGGGAAAGTGTTCTGATTTTTTTTTCCTTTTGTATCAGATAAAGGGAAATGTTTTGGGTAAAAACTAAAAATATTATCCACACAAAACAGCAGAGAATACAGAAGATATCACCGATAAAACTATCTTCTGTAAAATGCAAAGGGACAGTCAATTGCTTACACGTAACAGTAGTATCCCACTTAGGCGTTATAAACCACAATTCTTTTCTTTCCCAAGTCCTTCCAAAATGAAACTTATTCATATTTCTTATTTTTATTTTTATTTATAGCCCATTGAGTCTTGGACTTAAGACAATACACAATCAATTACAAAAGTATTCAATTCAATAAGATTTTCCCTTTCAGCACAAATGCTCACCCAGAAACTTACAAAAATAAATGAAGTTGAAATAAAAAATACGTTAAGTTGAAATATAATGCTCATATACCACTTCTGTTATTGTATTAAACAAAAGTAGCCAGCATCATACTTTCCAAGTTATCTTAATAGACTACAACCAAGAAAATTACTTCATAAAACACGTTTAATTCTCAAGGGTAAAAGAGGAACTATCATTCTTACCACTCTGTGAAACCCTTTTCACTCCCTAGGAGAATGGATGTGCCAGACTCACCAACATAATAATTATCAGACTTCAAACCAAGGAGTTGCCGCAACTGCCCCATGAGAACTTCAAAAAGCTTCTGGAGATCCTGTTTCAGAATAGGCATTATTCAATGTTCAGCAAGAGTATTAATGACAATTTACAACTGTAGGATTACAAGTGCACGTTTAGATTAGCTTATTATGAAGAAATGGTTGCCAATTTTTGCTAGCTTCAGGAGTTTCTTTTTTCACATGATTATTTGCTAAAATTCAGTGATTGCCAAACATGCACTATGTATATATGCAAAAAAAAAATGACATTAAATTTATTTTATAAAAAGACAAAATTGTTTTTCAAAGCTACTCATTATGAAATGCCGCAGAATTTACTTTGAAATTAATCAAGGCTGAAAGTGCAAATGCAATACAAAGTTCCAAAGTACTGTGGTGTATAATAAATGTAAACAAGGAGAAGCAATTATTTTCAATGGTTAGCAAAAAGAGTGTGCCAATCAATTAGTAAAAAACAAACCTGGAGAGAAATCATATGTTTAACTGGATCCTTACTTTCCAAATCTTTTATACAGCTTTGGGGATTCCAGACAACAACACCTCCCCACATCTGCAATATTCAAGAATAGGAGCTTCATAATGTTAACACATTTGACAATATATAAGATTATAATGCAAAATGAATATGTCAGGAAATTTTGTAGGTGAGACGAATAACTGGAGATATAAAGCCATTAGTCTTAGAGATCTCTCCATTTGGAAGCTCCAGTTGAAGAGGACATTCCTTTGCAGATGGTATATACCTGACATAGTAGACAAAGAAGCTTAAAATATAAGCTATCTTACAGCATAACATCAACAAGTCAAAATCAGACACTTGAGAATATGTATATCAGTGAGAGAATGAGTCAGAGAAGTAATTTCATGTTTTCCCCATTTTAATCATAGTTATCAATCTCAGATAGCGGCCAACCCCAAAAATGCTGTGGTGCATGGAAAATCAAAAAGTAAACATATGTAGGATTAAGTTATAGTAATATACACCACAAGTTGCAATACTTTGGACCTTCCACCTGCTGCAACTGAAGTATCCAAGTGCCACTCATTTGAATTCACCTGTTTCAGATAGAACATTCATGTCATTAACATAGTATTATAGTATCGCAGATACAAGAAAAACTGAAAAATTTTGACAAGGGAAAAATAGACAGCAAGGCAGGTTTCCCATAAACAAGGATATAACTTGAACCAAATCTAGAAAGAATTCATATATAACTCAAAGATAAAGAAACTTCTGAATGACCAAAACATCATTATTTTATAAGCTAGACATCATGCAAATATGTCATGTGCTCTGGGTGGAAAGTTCCGTCATCTACCCAATTCAATAAGTTTGAGGGGTTACAAGTTAGAGCCAAATACAATGGTAACTCTATTCAAAATAAACTGTAAATCATGAATCAATGATAATTCAAAGACATAAATAGGACATACAAAGAAAGAAAGATCCTCGGTTGTAAATATGTGGCTGCCATGCTGATCATCCCAGTAAGGATATGAAGACTTTGGGGTGTGGTACAAAACCTGCCAATTAGGAGGAACGATAAATATTCAATCTGATGTATCCAATGAGTCTTGTAGCGGTTACATTTATGAGATTTCACCTGGCTTTCAACAGTGATGTTTGCAATAGGTTGTAAAACCTCAATCACAGGTCGCAGCAAAGTCTCATCAATTTCATGAAAATTCCTACAATAAGATCATCACAAAAACTTCAAAATGATACAATTCAAAAGATAACTAGACTTAACTGGAAAAGATGGATCTACATTATGTGTGTATGAAATTATGTACTAACTCTATTATGCAGAAACAAAACAACACTCCATGAGGACAACATTTGAGCAAAATTCCATTTCTAAATTAACAATTTATACCAATCATATATCCAATCTCGAGGGTCTGCATTGAGCAAACTGAAAGAAAGAACAATCTTCCCATCAGCACCAACAGGCATAAACTCGCTACGAACGGAACCCTCATCGTTCCCACCATTAACAAACACCTTAGCAAAGATCTCAGCCACACGCAACACTGCCTCCTCCTCCAAAACCCGCCCCAAAATCCACGCGTGCCGATACTTGCCCACCACACTCCTCACCTCCTCATCTCTATTCACCACCACAACACTATACGCATTCCCCCCTCCATACCCACTCACCACACTCTTAACTAATTCATCAACGTCTTCGTCATTACCCCTTAATTTCCCGCCAAAATCAACCGCGTTAACTTCACCCGTATCCACCACCACGGAGACGGAGTAATTGCCGCCGCAACCGCCACAATCGCCGCCATTACTTAGCTCCGACATCTTTCTCGTAATCGCTGCTCCGACCTTATCGTGAGAAACCTTAAAATCGAAACCGATGAAAATGGCTCGAAACTGGCATGGGAAGAGCAAGGGTTTCGATTCGATTTGAGAAGAGAAGGAATCAATTCGATCGAATGGGAGCGGGGCACGGTAGATTTCGATGGATTTCCACAGAAGAGGAAAACCTGCTAAGAGAATAATTAAATAAGATGACTGAAGACGAGAAGAGAGTGAACGTGTGAGTGAGTTAGGAAGGGACCTATGATGAATGAGACGAGCACTGTGACGCTTATGAGGAGCCGTTTAACTCCGGGTTTTGTATTTCGAGTCCTTTTAGTGTCGAATTCGGACAACTGAGTTTGGGTGTTTTCTTCTGCGGGTTTTGACGTTGACGGAGAATCGGAGATTTCCGCCATTGTTGATTGAGGTTTTGCGAATTCGAATTCGAAGTCGAAGGAACTTCAAGAGATGCACGAGGGCTCAAAGTTCAGTAGCAATATAAAAATTAACATAAAATTATGTTGACAACTTCTGTCAACTAGCCGTCTTAGCTCAGCCGGTAGAGCGCGTGGCTTTTAACCACGTGGTCGTGGGTTCGATTCCCACAGACGGCGTTTATTTTCTCTTTTATTTTTCTTCAATTGAAGTACTCTCTTGACAAGCAAGAAAATAATATAATTTAAGTCACAAGAAGCAATGTTTTAATGTATTTAAGCATAGTTCAAATTATCCATTTTAGGAAATAATTTCTAAATAATATTATTTTGGTAATTAATTTTAATAATACGTTATTTTATTAAACCAATCAACAAAAGCTGAGTCTATAAAATGCATGTAAAACTATCAGAAAATGTATAAAAAGAAAATATTTCTTCTAATTGTAAAAACTGTTATTTATAAAATCAAATATAGATAAAATAAAAATATCTAGAGTATATTTTATAATGTTATTTATAAAAAATCATAACCAAATCATTAAGTTTTTATTTTTAGAAATATTAATTGATTTTGTTATATTTTAAGAGAGTATATTTTTTTATATATTTTTATTGTCTCAAAATAAAAATAGAAATAAGTTAATACTTTATGGTAAATTTAAAATAAAAATTTGTTGATATTTTAGTTGCACCACTAGAAAGAAAAGTTGCTTAAATTATAAAAAATAATTTGACATAAAAGACCCATATAATAATTATTAAATAAATAATTAAATTTTCATTTATAAATTTAGTGATGAACATAGAAAAATATAATGGAGTAGAATAAAATAAAATAAAGCAAAAAAAGGTATCCCTCCATTATTTGAATCCTTTGTCAAATTGGAGAAAAAAAATAAAGAATAAGATAAAATGAAATTTATTCCATTTTGTCAATCTCTCATGGATAATTTAACAATTCAAACAATGAAATATAATAAAATGTTATCCCATTTTATTTTATTGCAGTATTTACTATCAATTCAAAAACGGTTTAAAAATCTGTAATGGATATTAGGATTAAAGATACCATAACACTTTATTTGATTTTATTTTAAAAAAATAAGAAGGATATTTTTTTCTGTGCATTTGAAATTATAATAAAAAACTACAGAAAAAATTTATATATATATATATATAACCTTTTTAATCTTTGCTATTTTTGGAAAGAAATTGTCTAACATTACAATTTTTTTTATTTATTTCATGTCGTCTTCTTTTTTTTATCTCACTCTTAAATCTAAAGAACCTTTCTATTACATCGTGAGCCAAAATTTGTTGGGTCAAACAGATTATATTTTAATAATTTAAAAATACTACTTATGTTACTATTTTTATTTTTATATCTTTCTTAGGAACATTAATTATTATATAAAAAAATTATTTTTGACATTTTTTTCTTTCTGTCTTATAATTTTTTTTTCCTAAGAGTGTGTGTTTGTGGCAGTGTGACCCTCCACATAAGTGCAATGGAAGTCACCAATCTCAGCTTTGAGCTTTCATGATTGTCCAATGACCTTATTCAAGTAAATATATTTTAACATTGCTAATTAAGTTTGATTTATATAGTCACTTTTGTTAATAATTTTCAAATGCTTACAATGTGGGATTCAATTAGGCACACTACTTTCCAAACTTTTATATCACAATGGTTAAACTCTTTTTTCTTTTTTGTTACTTTTCTCTTGTTTTTATTTGCACCACATATGTAAGTGATCTTATGATTTTATTCACAATTTAATGTTCGACATCATATTATAATTGTTTAAAAGAATTTAAAAAAATGCTTTTACGCATGAGTAATATCAATTGCTCCCACCCAAACAATGAATGCAAGTATTCTTGGCAAAATTATTCTTTTGCATAAATCAAATGAAAATTAAGATGCGATAAACAATTGAATGATATTATCAAGTTCTTCTACTTGAGGAGCTTATAGGAGCACCCCTCCAAAGTGCAATAAAGGTCATCATTCTAGGCTATGGACCTTTTTTTCTTTTCCTTTTATCATACTAAGTAATTTGTAACAATAAAAATAAGTTTGATTTATATATTTGCCATTTTTAATATCATTCAATTGTTGTTTATGAGATACAACTTAGTTATTTCTTCTCTTTTTTTTTCTTCATTATTAGACATTTTGTTAAAGGTAAACGCTAACCAATAATTTTAGAATATTGACAAAGAACCAATAATATATATATATATAGCAAAATCTTCACACACTAATATAAGTATAAGAATTACACTAATATGAGTATAAAAATTCTTATACTTGATTTGAGCCTTTCATTTAACTTACATCTAAAGGGTTATAATTTATTATTTCACTAGCTTAAAAAACTCATTGAATTTTTTAAATTTACACTAGTGTGAGAAGATATTTCTCCTATATATATTTAAAAGCATTGATGCATTTTTACTGTGATTTTTAATGTGATTTAATTAAAAAAATATTTTATTGATTTCACTGTTAAAGGTAAGCACTAACCTATAATTTTCATTAAGTTATAGGTGGCCTCACAGGAAAAATATGAGCTCTCTGAACTCATTCTCGCTTAAGTTGTAACGCCTCGAATTTTGTAAGGATATTATATATATATATATATATATATATATATATATATATATATATATTGCTTCATTCATGTGAATATATGTGTTTTGAATTATGTGGCCGGTTTGGTTTATTTGGAAATTTGGCTAAGTGTGTAATGTGTAACGCCCCGAATTTTGTGATATTAATTATGATTATTTATATAAATCTAAATATATATGTATGTGGGTATTTTGGATATGTGTTGTGGATGTGTGTATATATATGTGTATGCATGACTGGATAGGCTGAAAATAAGCTAAGTGCCTAAGTGCATGGTGTAATTATGGACTGTTTTCGTTATAGTGAGAGGGCCCTATGAAGAAGGACTAGAACTGTCGCCTTCTCGCTGTAGCGACAGTTTGGAGTGCAATTATGGGTACAGTCTCGCTGTAGCGAGATTCTGCAAAAACTAGGGTGCAGTTTCATCTGATATTTTCGCTACAGCGTGAGGGCGTGTCACTGCAGTGAGATCCCCTCGCTGTAGCGAGAATGTCGCGACCAGAAAAGGATTTAAAGGGAGTTAGGTTATCTCTCCCTCTCCCTTTGAAATCCCTTTGATTCTCTCATTCCCAAACCCTATTCCACTAATTAAATTACCTCTGAAGCCATTCGAGAGCTTAATTGAAGGTTGAATCCATATAAAGAACGCTTGGAGGTGAGTTTTAATAGTTATGGTTCCATTTCTTATTCTTTTTCTCTGTTTCTAGGTTTCCTTGGGTTCTCATGGAGTTCTTCCATGTGTTTTAGGCTGAAATCTGTGTGTCCATGTTCGAATCCAAGTGTGGGTCTTCAATCCAAGGTAAGGGGGGACTCTATCCTACTCTTTTGTGCATGAATTGTTGTTATTTTGTTGAATATTGTGTTGTGGCTGAGTTAGAGGGTAGGAATTTGCTGAGAAATGTAATGTGGGTCATGTGCCGTGATATGTGAACATTATGTATGTTGACCCGAAATTGATGGATGTGGATTGTATGTAAATATTGTGTGATAGAATGAGGACATGTACGCTGAGTGTTGTGAATGGGTATGGGCACTTGTGCCGTATATTTGAATGAATATTGTGAAAATGTGGGCCCAAGGGCCGTGTAATATGAACGATAATTGTGGGTTGTGTGTAGTGTGTAAGCATGATTACTGCATGTGTGAATGGAATATATGTGAATGGGCGTGTTAGCGCCGTTGTAATGTGTTGTGAATGGTTCAGCGAATACACTGGGGGTGTGGAAGATGAGGACGGCAGAAAACCTTGGGGAAGAGGGAGTGGTGGTGACACCAATTGCAAAATGGGTGCACCACGGGCTACACATTCTCTTCCTGACTAGACCTCTGACAACTACCTTTATTGAGCGACCTGTGACTGCCCACGTGGTATTCATGAGACGGGAGTAACCGGCGACAATTCATGGTGTAAATTTGTGATCATAGTACTGCAGTGAATGTGGCTGGCGTGCATATGTATGAGTTTATGAATTGTACTTATGGATGTGAAATGCTATTTGTGAATGTAATTGTTTAAAGTATTGGAGAAGTACTGGAGGTGGGACTCTATGTTGACTGTGTGTCTTTGGGTAGTGTAGAGTACTCACCCTTACATTCATTTTTCAGGTAATCAAGACGATCAGCACTGAACTCAATGAAGGGACGGATGGACTGCTATAGGACTTAGATTTTATTTTGAAAATGTTGTAATTGAACTAGTCCTGTAGCAGTTATTTGATATTAATTTATAACCCTTCACTTATTTCGAAATCTTTTATAAAAATTTAGCTATCCGATTTGTGAAATTGTTATTTAATTGAAATTTAAATTAAGGTGTTACAATTTAGTATCAGAGCAGTTCATCCAAACCAGACTAGGGTATTGGGCTGAAGCATCCAAGATAAGTGTTGATTGTTTTGTTTGCCTGAATTATAATGTATAAATTGACCTAATGTGCTAGAATGTGATTGCTGACTTGTTGTAGCTAGATTGAATATGTCTGGTGGAGGTAGAGGTAGAGGTAGAGGAGCTAGAGGCACCAATGACCTCATGGAACGCATGGCTCAGATTCTGGAAGCCATGGTGCACAATCAAGGCGGAGAGCCGGTTGAGTATAGAGGGTTATCTGCCTTCACTAGGCACGATCCTCCAAAGTTTGAGGGTGGATTCAACCCTGAAGGAGCTCAAAGGTGGGTGGCTAATGTGGAGAAGATCTTTAATGCAATGGGGTGCCGTGAGGAGAACAAAGTTGCCTATGCCACCTATTTGTTGTGTGGGGAGGCTGAGGACTGGTGGAGGTTTACTGGAGATGAGACTCTATGTTGACTATGTGTCTTTGGGTAGTGTAGTGTAGTGTACTCACCCTTACATTCATTTTTCAGGTAATCAAGACGATCAGCACCGAACTCAATGAAGGGACG